AAACCCTTGGTGCAACGACGAGCGACATTGCCCCAAGGCGTTTTCAGTAAATCTACAAAGCTTAAAAAAAAACTGGACCCTGGCAACATATGCATATGTATTTACATATGTATGCTTATAAATATGGGCACGGCACAGTAACTAAGTAGGTCTGACGGTGGAAGTATATATGCATATAAATATGTACAAGGGAATAATGTATATGCTGACAGCACAGTGACTGGCGCGTGGGAGTTCCAGTGACCGCACTTCCCGCGTTGAGTCCGCTCTCCTGATGTATGTATGTATGTGAGCGTGCTCCTTGCCCTTCTTCTCCTTTTTTATTTACTCCACAAGTCTCCAAATTTTTCTCTATTACTCCTGTATTGCTACATATGTATTTTTCCGGTCGTTCACCTTTCTGGTATGTACTTAGGTGCTGATCACTATGTACTCCTATGGGTTGGTGGGTGACTGGAGAAAGACGTATCTCCGCTTTTTTGGTTTTGATTTCTAAGGCCCTGACGTTACACTTGCCCAGCGGGGACCTGTAAGGCATATCTAGCGTCACTACATTTTCTTGATTTATATATTTTATACTTATACGATCTCTAGACTTGACTCATTTATTATAGTTAGATATATGTTTATATACATATGTATGTCATGCATAGATGTATGCCATTTATATTAGGTGTGTATGTATAGTGACGGGCAAAAGTGTAACATGTTGTAACACTTTTAAATTCAGTCATCGCTATCTTTCCAAGTTCTAACGAACTTCATACTTTTGTTGCATATTCTTATTGGTACATCCCTACTCCCTCTCTCATAACGATTTGAAGTCAATACAACAACAATAAAAAAAACCAGCAGACAAAAATGTAAATTAAGACAGATGTTACAGTTTTGCACTCATATATTTTTAAGAACTTTTTAACCATTTTCACGTAAAAAAAAGAACTACTAACACAATGCATACCTTATTTGTATCTCTGTAAAAATTCTGGTGGTATATCCTCCCATATATCCTTAATTTGCTTTCACAGCTCATGTACTCGATTTTACGGACTTTGATACTTATTAAGCTGTTCTTTTAGTTGATTTCGCAAATTGTCGATGAGATTCATGTCCGCGGATTGCGGAGGTCGTTTCGAATTAGCAAATTTTTGCTTTTGTATCCTGGCTTTGCGAACATGTGCAGTGTGTTTTGAGTGATTTTTCAGCAGAAACTATAATTTTTTCGACTACATCTTGTAAATTTTGTTGAAATATGAACAGATACTGTTCCTTACGCATAATGTGTACTAACGGACAAACACAATTTTTTAAATACAACCCCAAACTATTATTGACCGAACACCGTGATTCACAGTTTGTCCTTGATCCAATACGAGGCCGGTCATTTGATTGAAAGCGATTAATTTAGTCTTTTCAGACCAAATAACCTTCAATTGAAACTTAAAAATATGTTTTTTATTGCATTCTGAACGGCCTCACATATCCCAATAGGCAACGGTTCTGTTTTCGTGCGGTGCAGCAAAATGCTGCCACACTCGCACATGTATTTTGATCAAATTTGCTTTTTTCTTCTTTATGATGCCTTTGCGCTCAATTTGGCAATTCTTCACCTCGCTGTCTATTGATTTGCGTTAAAGTTTAATACCTTAAGCGCTTCTGTAATAGTGCCTGCATCGCTACTTGCTGCTAAGTTCACAAGATATCGTACCGTTATATTTTTTGACAGACTTCCTTTGTCCTTGGGAACACTTTAGGCAAAATTTGTCTCAGTCTTAACATTTTCAAGTAGCAAATTCCACAATTTTTTACCACTTTTCGTGCGGTCCCGCCTTTCCGCAGTAAATCTATTATTAACATTTATGGTTCCTGATTAACTATTATTTACTGGTGATCACTTCTTCAATAAATTACAATACAGAAAAAAGTCATCTGACTTCCAACTAAGTAAGAGAAAACTGTCAAATGCAAAACTGAGAGTGAGTGCAAAACTGTAACAACTGCCTTAATTTACATTTTTGTCTGCTGGTTTTTTTATTGTTGTTGTATTGACTTCAAATCGTTATGAGAGAGGGAGTAGGGATGTACCAACAATAATATACAACAAAAGGATGAAAGTCGATAGAACTTGGAAATATAGCGGTGGCTGAAATAAAAATGTTACACCATGTTACAGTTTTGCTCCTCACTGTATGTTCACTGTAGCGCGGTTGGTACATATGTGTATTCGTTTTTTATGTGACTTCTAGTTTATTTTAGGTGGTTTAGATACTTTTATCACATTATAGTTTTACTTTAATTTGATTTAATCTTACTTCAGTTTAATTTATAAGAATTTAGTCTCAATTTTATTTTATTTTACTTTAATTTGAATTTATTTAGTTTGAATTTTCGTTTATTTTACATTCTCTTAATTTTTCTAACTCGATTTGTTTAATTTAATTTTATCAAATTTTAGTTTATTTGAATTTATTTTGTGAATACAAACATTTCAAGGGCTACCTTCGCTTGTATACTTGTACTCAGTCGCTTTAATGTATAGACACACACTTTCCAATTTAGTTGGTTTGGATTCTACATCAATTTCTTTAAGTTTATTTAAAATTCCTATGACTCACCTCCTGTGGCATGTAACAGTGTCCCTTTTTTTTCTTAAGATGCTTTTTCCTGATATCTAGTCCAGTTAAATAGCAACGGAAAATTTAACGGAACTTTCTAAAAATATCCATTCCACCGATTTTTTCGTGTCTAAACACTTTAATGGCAGCTTTCTATCTAATTTTTGCCTGAAGATCGCTGGCAATCGTGCCCTAGCTGTTTGCTGAAATTTCTTTCCGCATTTCGCTCATTCACACATACATGCATACTCACAGTGGACTTTCACCAAAGAACGTAGATAACAAGAAGGGACAACTCGTTATAATTGTGGCGAAAGTGCGCAACAGGGGCGTGCTTTCTCTTTTCATACAATCAAAAAACGCACTAGGGCAAAAGAGAAGGCACGCCCCTGTTGCGCACTTTCGCTACAATTATAACGAGTTGTCCCTTCTTGTTATTTACGTTCTTTGCTTTCACTACATTCACATAAACACAACTCAACCCAACATTCATATTGGTTCTTAACACACATGTTGTATACAATGTCTATAAGCATGCCGAGGTACATGTATAGACACATTGTGGCATTGTGTTGGTGTTGCACTCAACCTTTCGGGCTTGCGTTACAACTGGCATGCGTTGAACGCCAACTATTGCATACTCAATCAATACTGCTGCTTTGTATGACTGAGCAGCGCGTTGACTTAGTAGTATCGATACGCAAAGCGCGCTGTCTTGTAAATACAGACACTGCAAGTGAACTATACTTCTGATATTGACTTTGGCAAATTAGTATTCCGAATGCTTATTCACGAAACTAGCAAACGCGCCATTTGAACGGTTGCCGAAACCATGGGAGCTCATTTGGACGAGTGGCGAAGACAAGACGCCGCAGTTCATTTGTTGCAGAAGTCATTTGACTTGTTGCCGAAAGCACGACGAATGTAGTAAAGGGCAATTTATCGTCTCGTATGTATGTATGTATTTATAGCGCGTCTACCATTCAGTTGCTTTATAGCCCCGTCAGAATGAGTACTTTGCGTACGTGACGCTCAAGTATG